GTGGATCTCCTTTCCAAGAAGAACATGCAGACGAGCATGCCTCAGTTAGTGCATGTCTTTGATTTTTGGCTAGTGGCAGAGAAGGAAAAAAAAAAAAAAAGTGTTTATTAAAAGTAGTTTGTTTGCTTTATTTTATTAGCTGTTTACAGCTTTGAGAGACTAGGAAGTTGTCAATGGCACAGCTACTAGGGTCTGTGATTTAGGAGAGATGGGACAAGGGAAAAAGACCCTAAAAGCGTGAGCTCTTATTTGAACACAGTACCCAAATAGTGACAAGGTGAAGAGGATATGAGAAGAATCTAGTTTGATTGATTGAAACATGAACGCAAAAACAGAGCTCCAGTTCCATAGAGAGACCTAGTTGATTCCCGTTGCAAAGAGATGAGAGGAAAAGAATAATTATAAGAAGAGTCGAGCAAAGAAAGTGTAATGATGCATATAGAAACCAAAGGTACCTCCTCTTCTTTGTCTCCTCTGAAGAGTTTGTAACCGCAATAGAAAAACACACCCCAACCGATTATCGAAGCAAGCACAGGCTGCAAATTGTGAATCATCAATCAATCTAGTACGTTTTGGGTACAAGAAAGGAAGGAATATAGAGAGAGAGAGACACGTACAGGTTCCTCCTCCTCTTTGCAATTGCATTTTCTTAGCCTCCTGGGCGGGCTCATACAAGAAGTAATCTCCACCTGCGCATCAATGATATATTAACCAAAAGTTTAAGCCTTTTTCATTCGTTAGAAAATGATTTGATTAACGTGAAACGAGGATAAGAGATTCTAAAGCCAATCATAGAAGAAGCAACACAAAAGTGTTGGAGAGAGAGAGAGAGATCACGGCGCTGAGAAATAGAGGCGCGGCTTGAGAAGGGATACGGGCAGATTGAATCGAGCCCATGGCACGGCGAACGAAGATCGACATCGAGCTCCAATCTGATTTTAGAGTTCTGCAAGGGAAAGGCGATGGTGATTGGTCACCTTTGATTCAAACGACGTCGTATTTCTAGACATTCATTTCCGTTGTTATTGGGCACGTAAAGGATGAATGCGAATAATTAAGCTGAATCTACTATGGAATTGGAAACAATCAAATTATTACTTGAATTTAACTATCCGTAAAGATAATTACGAGTAATTTTTTTTTATAATAAATAATCTTGACTAAAGTTCAAAATTTTCTAGTGCAGATAATTAGGCTCACAAAGTCAAAAACCCTGGCTATGACTGAGATTCGGTGCTCGAAATTTAATACTAATTTTGTTTCTCAATTTAGCACGTTGGTTTCTTCGTATTTGAACCAAAATAACAATAGGATTCAAGGGAATAGTTGAAACCAGAGACGCAACAAGCCTTTGAGCTTCAATTCGTTTTGTATCAAAAATCAAAACTAATAATTTTTTAAAGATTACATAACTTAAACCAAAATCCACAAATGCGGGGCAAACATTGTGTGTTCCTCCATCAAACTACGACAAATCAGATCCAACTATGAAATCTGCTGATTCTTTCAGAGTCTTTCTCGCACGCCAATACACGCCATTGGCAGTCTCTGACGTTCCCATCTGCAATAAACATGGTCAGTTGAGTATTTGACAGAAAGTCCTAGTTTGGGTATTAGCCATGGTGTCAAGATTCCGCTTTACCTTCGTCTCCAATGAGTAGTAATCCTTCCACAACTCCACGTTTTGGCTGTAAGTCGAAACAGCAGACTCGTACAGCTTCCTGGCATTTTTTAGACAATCTTTCTCACCTAGTGATGCAAGGTTGGTCTCTATTTCAATGCAATCTTTGTATACAACAAGACCGGGACGGGGAAGAGCCAAGAACCTGCAAATTTAAGGTAACAATGGTAAGAATAAAGCGGCATGCATGTGTTGTGCCTCGAGGGAAAGTAGTAGTGATTCACCTCTTGTATGTCTTTCTTGCACTGTGGCTCCCTTTTGTTTCAAGAACAAATTTTACCACTGCAGAAGCAAGAGAAAACACATGGTCGCTCGCATTGCCTTTGGCTACCGATAAGATGGACATCTCTACAAGCTTGTCAAAATAAGTTCTCTGATGAGCAAAGAACTTAAAAGCCTGTGATTCAACAAGTATTTTTATTAGTTTTGGCTTATATATCAACAAAATAAGGTATTGTCTAGAAAATCTATTAGTCACATACCGTAAGCCACAAGCTCTCCGATACTGAGATCGGTACTTTCTTCAAAGCATTTGAAAGGAGCTCAAAGACCGACTGCAAATCCGCCTTACTAGGAGTGGAGTTTTTTGAAAGTGATCCTAGTTCAATGGAAACCCTTGAAAGCCACAACTTAGCCGATCCCTCAAATTTTCCGGAGCAAAGTTTTTCTGCTAGCTTCTGAGCTTCATTGGTCCTTCCCAGTTTCAAGTACAGAGAAACATAGTCATTAGCAAGCTCCTCGGTCAAACACCCGGTTCCATCCGCCTTCTGGTACACATTTATGAGATGCGAAATGCAGTCCTCCATTGGATTAGATGAATGGGAAATTCCATCATCGTCGCCATTTGACCATGCAATAGCCTCCATCAAAAACTTTATATACATCTCAAACATAGAACTTGAATTAACAGTTTGTAACCCCTCTTCAAAAACCTGCACTCAGGAGACAAGATTCAATTCTAATCAGATATTGTACTGTCTATGAGTAAGCCTAAACAGAATGAGCTAGAGTAAGATAGGACAGTACTAAAAGAGAGTCCCCATAATCAAAGTTCCTCCCATCCTCCGACATTACTAAATTAGGGAATATGACTTCAAGTTCAAACAAGAAAGAGTGAGAGGAAAATCAAGACTAAGATTCGATTTAGACAAACCATTTTGAGGGAGGAAGTACAGGACAACTATGGCTGCCAGTTTCTTTAACAGACTTGAGCAATTAATGAATATCTAACCTGAGTTATATAAGCATTTACATAAGCCAAGGTGAGTTTTACCTGAATAGCCTTTTGCAGTTCAGGATTCGCAAACTCTACGCCTGTCTCTTTGCTAATTCCATCACTCATTTCATGTCTGGCAAGCCAATTCCAATATTCAGGGTCCTTGGAAAAATCTCGCTTCAGGTCACTTAGAATCGTATTGCGCATTTCATCTGAATGCGCCATATCTGTTGCCTCTAGAATCTCCAGAAAACGCTTCCTCAAGTCAAAACTAGATGGAAGAGCCTCAATGGCTCCACCATAAATGGCCTGAAGAACATTGGACCCTTGTTCCCGAAAGACATCAACTTTCTCACTCGCATCCTCAACATCTTCAACAACAGAGTCGTCATTTTCTTCTTTCTCATCTACTAGCGACATAAACAAGTCTTTGTTTTCATCTTTCCATTTTTCATCCTCGACGGCTTTCTTGTCACGAACCAAACTTCCTTTATCTTCACCAAGGGCAACTCTACGAACTTTCAGCTTATTCAGGTAAGTGAGCTCCATTCTCAGATACTCCACCCACAAGTCTTCAGAGTTTGAACACACTCTCAAGCCATTTTGCATAAGAGCACGAGCAGCAGCAACATTCAAGTTTCGATCAAACTCCCAAGCTGCAGCATATATCCACACTCCAGCCACTTTTGGATGAAACCTTATCACTTGAGCCAAGACCTACACATCGAAACATACCCAACAAAGAAGAAGAAAAAATGTTTTCTCACAAATTTTCATTCACAAGACAATAAAAAAGATCAATTCGAAAGCTTTACCTTCTTCATTCTCCCATTCCGCTTCTGCCTACAAAACTCAAGATACCTAAACCACAAACCAATATCCCCTTTAAACCTCATAGTCGCAAGCCTATAAATCTCCACAATTTTGGCTACACCTGCGAAATCAGAAATCGATTTCTTCTTCTTATTGTCAGACTGACGCGAGACTGCCTTCCTCCGCAAGATTCTGAGCTCATCAAGCTTAGTTTCGTAGTCAATATAGGCTAGAAAATCCTGTTTGAGTGGGCTCGGACGCTTGAGACGGTACTCGAACTTACGACGCTGCTTAACGATCTCTGCAATCTCTGCACGAGTGAAGATTCCTCTACGCTCTAGATCATCAAGCTCATCAACCATCCGCTCGAGGCGGTACTGAACAACGTCTGCCATTGCTTGCTGCTAACTCGAAATCACGGCGAGGGCTGCAACCGTAGGGCAACAACGCTTAATGCTTCTCTTCTTCTTCTTCATTTTATTATGGGCCGTAAGAGGAAGAAATAGTTTGGGCTTAAGCCCAATGTAAACGGCCCATTAACTTCTGCTAAGAGGTAGGTAGTCGTTCTTCTTGGAAAAAGCTTAGAAGTGAGAAGGACGAAGACGATGACGCTCTATGCTCTCTCTTCATCTTCCTTCTGCCGCAATTCTCGAATTCCTTCTTACTCTCCTGTTTCACGCATTTCTCATCTTAATGGCGATAAGCTAAAACTTGCTCCGCCGCAGTTTTTCAATCCCGGCGCGAGCCTCCGTGGTTTTGGGGTTCCGGGTGTAAGACTTAGGGTTTTGACGAGATGCGAGAAAGAAGATGCACCGTCGACCGGTGAAGTTGAGGATGAGGCGGAGCGATTCGCGAGGCGAGAGAGCACGATGCCTGATAGATTCAGATACTTGACTAAAGAAGCCCCGGATAGTCCTATTAGATGGCCCTGGCTCGTCGGTAAGTCTCCGTTTCTACTTTTGGTTGATTTTTGAGTGGCTTTGGATCTGAGGTTTAGTCTTTCATGGCGATGATTGATAACAACGCAAATGAAAAGTAAGATGAAATTTCTGGATTTCAAATTCCGTATTGATGCTGTTTCTCTTCTCAATTACTGGGAAATTTCTGAGATTGGTTTTAGTTTCCCCTGAGATTGTAGAGGGGTTTTGACTTTGTAATTTAGTGGTTTAAAGTTTCTTGTGCATATACCTCGTTGCATAGTTGGATTAGGGGAATATATCTGGCAACTTGAATGATCTTTGGGTAGATTAAGTGACATCATGAATCTTGCTGTTGCAGCGCTAGGGTTTCTTGTGTATGCCTGGAGAGCAGTCTTGTTTGAACTATCCAATTGGAGAAAGGCGGCTTTCGCTATCCTTGGATTTCTTGGAGACCTTTCCAAGTTTGCATTGGCCCTTGTCTTCCACTTTGTAGGCGATCCCATCACTTCTCTCATCGCCCTTGTAGAGACAGCAATCTACAGTGTCCGGGCGTTCTACTCCGGGATTGTGGCTTACACACCTGTTAGAGAGTTAACCACGGTGATCCTTCTTGCATCCTCAGTGCTTGCAATAGGAGAAGCAGTTGCACCAAACTCGATCAGCAAGCAGCCGTATTTGGTAACTCTTGCGGGTCTCTTGGGGTATGCAGCTGTGCAAAGTTACATCTCAGAGCCATTCTTCTGGACCGTCTTGGTGGGTCTGTATGGATATTCACGGCTGATAAAGAAGAGAGACGACGTGACCTCGGCTCTTCCTTCTGCAGCTGTTCTTGCCGGAGTAGGTGAGCCATGGGTGAGAGTGGTGGCCATCACAGGGTATCTGGCTCTAGCCATGTATCACAATTCAACTAAGACCACCTCCTCTGAAGAAGAGAGACAGAACTTGAGAAGGGCACCGCCAATTCCGTTGTTGGCTGCTGCATTGGCCATTGGCGTCCGTCTTGCTGCGAAATGGGCTGGATACAGACACTTGACTTGGATGATTGTTTGATTCTCTACTCGGATTTTTCAGAAGCAAAGAAAATTAGAGACCAACAAAACTAGCTTGTATTTTCGACCAAAAAAAACAAAACAAAACTAGCTTGTGTTTGTACTTGTTCTCCCCCAATGTTTTCTGATTATACAAAAAAAGTAAAAAAGGTTTTCTTTGTGGATTCCTAATTACGGCCCATTAGTATAAAATCAGCCGATTTATGACACGAATGAGCCCAAATAGATTTCGGCCATTTCAACAACTTGCACATGTTATTAGGGCTATGCAAGGACCCTATATAATGGAGTCAGTCACCTTCCTTTATCTCAATCGTCTGGTTTTCGTTTGCCTTTATTCGTTTTACTGGTTTTGATTCTTGTGATAGATCTCTGATGGGTTTATTATGTGTTTTTTTTTTTTTTTGAGGAGGAAGAAACCATTCGTTTTATGTATATTGATTGCCTCACATCACCTTTGGCTTGTTTTCGAGAAAAAACTCAACGAAAATAATGCTAGTCAACGAGGCATATATTAAATTGCGGTGTTAAAACGTGGAGGCACACTTGTTTATCATAGTTTAGCCTCTAAAATCATCCGCTAAACCACTTTTCTTTTGTTATCTTGTATTTTTGTTTCTGTTTTCTATGTCCAGATCTGGCTTGGTTTGTAATTGGCGAGTTAATTACTGAATCATTTGGAACCGGTGACTTGTAACCTGTTGCCTGATCCAAAGCTGGTTGTTAAAGAGTGGATAGCTTGATTACAGATGTGGCGACCCTTGTGAGCTTAAATGTGTGCATCAAATGGTCCAAAATCTTGCTGTGCCACAAGAAGTTGAATAATCTGTACCTTATTTAAGATCTATTTGGAGATTCATGATGAAAATGAGTATTGTTAATTTATCTGCAACCAATTATGCTTCACCAAAATTTACAATTCCACATGAAGTCGATTGCCAAGTTCTTTGTCTTGTAGCTCCTATAACCAACCAACCCATATTGAAGGAAGAATTGCCCGATTTCCACATGGCACATGAGATATCAATTAACAAACCTGAATGAGCTATCAATCCAGCACATCTGGAGCAGCCAGATAGAATCGTTTTTAAAATAAAAACACTTGCTTTGTTTTTGATCCACAAGAAAAGTCGCTACTAACTTGAAACTTGTTGGTCAGAGATATTTTTCCAATTAGTCTTTCTTTGTATCTTGCACTTTGTCTTCCCAAAATCAACCCCTGTTTTCTTCAGGCTTTAAACCAAAATGACCTTACTTTCCTCTCTCGGAAGGGCCTCTCGATCTGCCCCACTTGCCTCTAAGCTCCTTCTCCTCGGCACTCTCAGGTTCCACTGCACTTTCGATGGTCGCTTTTTCATCTGTTTCCAAAAGTCGGGACCTTTTTGCTTTGCTTTGCTTTATGGTTTCGTTTTCTCAAATCTTTGACCTTTTACCGCCTTTTGTCCTAAATATTTGCCTTATATTTACTCCATAACGTTCGTTTCTCTTGTTGCTGATTAGCTTCTTCTGTAAACCTATAGCCTTTTATAACTTGGGCTGAACGAAACCTGTCTTTTGTTTTTTTTGTGTGGTTCACGATCTTGTACTACTTTGGCAAAAGATGATAACTTTTTGAGTTTGCTCATTGAGATTGTGTGTTGTATTCTTATACATTTGCAGCGGTGGGAGTTTAGTAGCGTACTCAGATTCTAATGCAGAAGTTAACAAGGAGCAAAAGAAGAAGAAGAAAGTAGTTGTGCTTGGCACTGGATGGGCTGGTATAAGTTTCCTTAAAGATCTTGATATAACTTCCTACGATGTTCAGGTTGTTTCTCCACAGAACTACTTTGCCTTTACGCCACTGTTACCTAGTGTCACTTGTGGAACTGTTGAAGCTAGAAGCATTGTTGAGTCTGTCCGTAATATAACAAAGAAGGTAACCTTGTTGATCTCTCTTTCAAAACTGTATCTGCAGGCATCATCAGCATCTGCTAAGCTTATAGCCTCTCTTTTTTTTTTGGCAGAAAAATGGGGAAATTGAATTGTGGGAAGCAGATTGTGTTAACATCGATCCTGCTAACCGTAAAGTTCGCTGTCTGCCAGTTTTCAAGGATGATCCTGAAGCAAACAAAGAGTTTTCGCTCGAATATGACTACTTGATCATTGCAGTGGGAGCACAAGTTAACACATTTGGCACTCCTGGTGTTTTGGAGAACTGCCATTTTCTCAAAGTAAGCTTGATGGTTTCAGCTGTGAATTATAAATTATTCTCCCAGTTTCCTACTTTGTATCTTGAAAAATTCCCTGCAGGAAGTAGAGGATGCACAGAGGATTCGTAGAGGAGTGATTGATTGCTTTGAAAAAGCAGTTCTTCCTGGTCTCACTGAGGAACAAAGAAGAACAAAGCTTCATTTTGTTATTGTGGGAGGAGGTCCTACTGGTGTGGAGTTTGCCGCTGAGCTACATGACTTTATTCAAGAGGATATCACCAAAATATACCCGTCAGTCAAACAACTCGTGAAAATAACACTCATTCAATCTGGAGATCATATTTTGAACTCGTAAGTGAGTTTGTTGCCATTTTTCTTCAGGCCAGGCTTGATTGTGGAGTCGACAAGTTGGTTATTGTTGTAGGTTTGATGAACGAATCAGTTCATTCGCTGAAGAAAAGTTCTTGCGAGATGGCATTGACGTACAGATGGGAATGCGTGTGATGTCTGTGTCTGATAAAGATATCTCTGTGAAAATCAAATCAAGTGGAAAAGTCCTAAGTGTTCCCCATGGATTGGTATTGTGGTCCACTGGAGTTGGAACTCGTCCAGTTATCAGTGACCTCATGGAGCAAGTTGGCCAAGGAGGCAGACGAGCCTTGGCAACCAACGAGTGGTTACAGGTGAAAGGATGTGAGAATGTGTATGCAGTTGGAGATTGTGCTTCCATTGCTCAACGTAAAATCATGGTCTGCAAACCCACCATTAGACTGTTGATATTGTTCCTTTGTTTTTATTATATGCATGCGCAATCTTAATAATGTTTTGTGATTGCGTTAGGAGGATATTGCAAATATATTCAAAGCTGCAGATGTAGACAACTCAGGGACCTTGACCGTAGAAGAATTACAAGACGTGGTTGATGATATCCTTGTGAGGTACCCGCAGGTGGAGCTCTACCTGAAAAGCAAGCATATGAGGAATATTAAAGATCTGCTGGCAGATTCGGAAGGAAATGCAAAGAAGGAAGTAAACATTGAGGAATTCAAATTGGCTCTCGCGGGGGTCGACTCACAGATGAAGAGTCTGCCTGCAACTGCTCAGGTATATAGTGGCTTCATCGGTGGATACAATGTGGATTTTGTTGAGGAACTGAGGCGCAATGGTCTCCTTGTTTGTTTTGTATAGGTTGCTGCCCAGCAAGGTACTTACCTTGCAAAATGCTTCAACAGGATGGAGCAGTGTAAAGATCATCCTGAAGGTCCTAAGCGCTTCAGAAGTGGCGGGCATCACCAGTTTCGCCCCTTCCAGTATGCGAAAATCTATTGAACGCTGGACCTTGCATCCTCATAAAGTCTCTCAAATTTTGAGATGAAACTTGTTTGCTTGATGACAGGTACAAGCATTTTGGACAATTTGCTCCATTGGGAGGGGACCAAGCAGCTGCAGAACTACCCGGAGACTGGGTTTCAGTTGGAAGAAGCTCCCAGTGGCTCTGGTATTCTGTTTATGCCAGGTAAAAAATGCTGAGAAACTCTATTATTCATGAGAGTAAATGCATAGAATGGAAGGGTTAAAAAGATGAAACAAAAATGATGTGGTGAATGCAGCAAGCAAGTGAGCTGGAGGACGAGGGCCCTGGTGGTGTCTGACTGGACAAGGAGGTACATATTCGGAAGAGATTCAAGCCGCATCTAAGCCAAAACTGCATTTTGTAATGTTTATAAGAAATTGTCTTTAAGGGAAACCAAGATTGAGGCTCTCTCTGTGGTGTTTATTTCTGGTGTAAATGCTACAACAAAGCTGTGACCTTTGACTGGTATCTTGTTTGTGATTGACAAAGCAAAGTCCTTTTGATTTCTTCTGGAGCTGACATTTACAAAACATAACAAAACTTCCAAATCTTAATGTGTGTATTTATACATTAAAAATCCTTAACAAGGATGCTAGTTTCAGCACAAGCATTCTTGCTCCACAATCCAGATGCAAGCAA